CACTTTAACCTATTTTACTGACAATTAAATCAGACAAGATTACTTTACAGACAATTAATTCATAGGTATGTTTGTTTCATAAATAGGTTATTTCACCGAAAGATCTGTAAAAGTAAACTTGTTGGTGAAATAAGGTGTCTATGAAGTGATTGTCTGCGAAGTGAACAACACCACTTAATGCTTAAAGCCTAATCCTAACATGAAATAAGAAATACCCTAATTCTATCCTGAAAATAGAAGCACTTGGAAAAGGTAAATTTGATATGGTCTTGCATAATCTAACCATGTTTAATAAAAATTTGTTTTGTTAAAATAAAATTATTTTAGTCTTCATACTAACAATGAAAGAATAAGCTACCTTAGTACTCACTATAATCTTTTAAAAACGTTTGGAGTTTAAATTTTATACGCCAACGCACGATCTAAATAAAAAAAAAAAAAAAAACCAAATTATTTTGCATATAGCCTTAACACGAAATAAACTATGCAATTGCTTAAAATAACCTCAAAATACTTGTCTAAATGCATCATACATACAACTTGCACGATCTAAATTCAAAAAATAAAATTAACACCTATACAAACGTTCGCAGGCCTTCGGCCTGCAAACTTCTATAAAAAAATTAACACCTATACAAACGTTCACAGGCCTTTGGCCTGCAAACTTCTATAAAAAAATTAACACCTATACAAACGTTCGCAGGCCTTCGGCCTGCAAATTTCTATAAAAAAATTACTACTTATACAAACATTCGCAGGCCTTCGGCCTGCAAACTTCTATTTTATCAAAAGAACTTTGCTAGAAGATGAGCCATGCATCGTATGAGCTTAACCTTATTTATAATGTGTCGTTTCTGACTTAATCTACCTAATTCTAATCTTAAAATGAAATGACTGAAGTTCTGCCTTAGTAACTTTAGTGCTAAATAAATTAAAATTTTACGTTAAAGTAAATATCTTGAGCGATATTAAATTACTATGTAATTTAGAGCGTTCTCAAGTACCTTTCTCAATAAAATCAATAAAGAATCTGATTGGTATATAAGATAAAACTGACCAATCAGATTCTTTATCGAGTTTATTGAGAAAGGTGCTTCTCATACTTCATAAATCATCATTAATTCTAAGTTTCAATTTGAGCATTAATTTGCTATATCAATTTGAGATTATTACATATTATACAGTACAAGAATAAATAATGTGCTATATCAACTATTTGTTAGGGCAATTTCGCTTATCATGTTCCTTGCTTTTACAAATACTGCATTGACGAGAAGCACGAAACGAAGTATGTATACGTTTTTTCAGTTTTTCAATTGCTGATTTTATATGCCTTTTGGAGGGACGCCCTTTTCCAATATATTTAAGTGGGTTCTGAACATCTAGTCGTGTAGTTTCGATATCTTGATCATTCTCTGTATCTTGATCACTCTCTGTATCCTGATTATTCTCTGTACCTTGATCACTCTCTACAATTTGGTTATCATCTAGTTCATGTTCTATAATTTGTTTGCTGCATTGTGCTTCCTCATGGATGCGTATCCATTCCTTAAATGTTTCTATCAAAATCTTTGAATTATTTAAATCATCATAATTAACTACTTCTACACATTTACGGGCAAGCCCAAGCAATGTTTCTTTAATCGATTGTTTACGGCCAATTGCTTTTGTTGCAGCTTATACAGGAGCTTCAATAAGCATGGTATTCCACGAATCAGCAACATCCGGAAAAGAAGGTAAAGATGGTGTTGAACTGTTTTTTTTTAATGAATTTCTTCTAAGAAATGGCTCATCAACAACTACCGCATCCATAAATTCGTCTTTGTACCAACGTCTTGGAATGAGAGAAATGTGAAAATAAGCCTTTTCAGACTGTAAAAGAACACAAAACCAATGATGGCAAATCACTCCACTATCGAATAATAAGATGCATATGCATAAATAAAATCTATTTTTTAGTAGCACTACATTCTGTCCAATATTTGATTTATGCTCAATTGATTGAACTTCCCAAACCTCAGCAACTAAGGAATGATCGATCCCCTCAAGAAGTTCATCAAAATATATCTGACAAAAGTCATACTCAAATTTAATCAGCCCATTATCAACAATCTCCAATGTTAAATTATATGAATCCTCAAAATTAACCTTTTTGCTATGATACATCACCGCCTTATTCATTTAATCAATATGTAACTGTAAAATTTTAGGCATTACATACTTTTGCAAAATATTGTATATTTCAGGAAAAAGTCGTCCAGAAACACTTGGTGTCATATATGATGTTGTCTTTTTATGCCAAGCCGCAAACCGACCAGCAAATTGTTCTTCTGCAACACGTGATTCAATTCAGTTAAACAGGATGTGAAGTTGAGTTTTTTCATTTACAGTCCGTTTAATTACACCGTTTATTGATTCAGATCGTTGTGTAGATATTATCCCTGCCGTAAAAACTCAACCTGTAAATGCTTTTGCCCAGGTTGTTTTACATAGATTAAGCTGTCTAAGTAGGTATTCAGTTGATTCTGAAAAATCGATCATAAGTTGTTTTCAGTATTTCTCAAATGTTTTTTTACATAAAACGTTTCAGCAACGATAAAATGCTTTGATAAAATTTGCATAACGATCACCAAATAGCTTTGCAAGCTGCTTTTCAATATTACACCTAATGTGCTAGATACAATGGAGTAGGTAGGTATCAGGATATATTTCGGGAACAATACTTTCAAGACCTGGATCTGCATCAATCATAAAAGTGCCGGGCTGAACTCCTGTAGCCTCAATTGTTTGCTGTAAAACCCATCTATAACTTTCACTTGTTTCATCAGGCAATATAGCCTGTGCAACAATTCGTGATTTGAAATTATTATCTACAACAGCAAAAATGCACAATGGGAGTTTATAGATATTGGTCGCTGCTGTATTGTTGTTTAAAATAATGTTTGTATAATGTCACCAAAGTTTGTGTTGTTCAGGAGTCATATAAAATATACCTTGTAATCTGTTTGTTTCTGGATCAATTAACGCTTGAACATACCAATCAGGATTCTTGGTATGCTCTTTTTCAAAGTGCTGAAAAAGCCTTGCAGTATCACACCTCTGTATATCATGAGTACGACGAAACTTATACACATAGTTTTTCACATCATAATCCACAATTGTGGCTTCAGAAAATAATCCACAGAGTAACTGAACCTAAGATGGGACATCATTGTTACAAAGGACATAGTTTTCAATAAGCTTCTTCATTTCTGTGATAAGTTTCCGATAGCTAGTAGCAAAGCTAGCGTTTT